CCTTATTGAGGTTGCAGGAACAAACCATCCCGATGTGAAGTAAATATGGCAGGTGACCAGCTTGGCTTAACAGTGAAATCCTTGCTGATCTTAAACACAAAAAAGAAGCTTACAAGAAGTGGAAGATTGGACAAATGACCAGGGAGGAGTATAAAAATATTGCTCAGGCATGCAGGAGTGAAATCAGGAAGGCCAAATCGCACTTGGAGTTGCAGCTAGCAAGAGATGTTAAGAGTAACAAGAAGGGTTTCTTCAGGTATGTTAGCAACAAGAAGGTGGTCAAGGAAAGTGTGGGCCCCTTACTGAATGAGGGAGGCAACCTAGTGACAGAGGATGTGGAAAAAGCTAATGTAATCAATGCTTTTTTTGCCTCAGTCTTCACGAAGAAGGTCAGCTCCCAGACTACTGCACTGGGCAGCACAGCATGGGGAGGAGGTGACCAGCCCTCTTTGGAGAAAGAAGTGGTTCAGGACTATTTAGAAAAGCTGGACGAGCACAAGTCCATGGGGCCGGATGCACTGCATCCGAGGGTGCTAAAGGAGTTGGCGGATGTGATTGCATGGCGATCGGGGGAGGTCCCGGATGACTGGGAAAAGGCTAATGTAGTGCCCATCTTTAAAAAAGGGAAGGAGGAGGATCTGGGGAACTATAGGCCAGTCAGCCTCACCTCAGTCCCTGGAAAAATCATGGAGCAGGTCCTCAAGGAATCAATTCTGAAGCACTTAGAGGAGAGGAAAGTGATCAGGAACAATCACCATGGATTCATCAAGGGCAAGTCATGCTTACTAACCTAATTGCCTTCTATGACGAGATAACTGGCTCTGTGGCTGAGGGGAAAGCAGTGGACGTGTTATTCCTTGACTTTAGCAAAGCTTTTGATACGGTCTCCCACAGTATTCTTCCTGGCAAGTTAAAGAAATATGGGCTGGATGAATGGACTATAAGGTGGATAGAAAGCTGGCTAGGTTATCGGGCTCAATGGGTAGTGATCAATGGCTCCATGTCTAGTTGGCAGCTGGTATCTAGCAGAGTGCCCCAAGGGTCGGTCCCAGGGCCTATTTTGTTCAGTATCTTCACTAATGATCTGGAGGATGGCATGGACTGCACCCTCAGCAAGTTTGCAGATGACACTACACTGGGAGGAGTTGTAGATACGCTGGAGGGTAGGGATGGGATACAGAGGGACCTAGACAAATCAGAGGATTGGGCGAAAAGAAATCTGATGAAGTTCAACAAGGACAAGTGCAGAGTCCTGCACTTAAGCTGGAAGAATCTCTTGCACTGCTACAGACTATGGACTGAATGGCTAGGCATCAGTTCTGCAGAAAAGGACCTAGAGGTTATGAAGCTGGATATGAGTCGACAGTGTGCCCTTGTTGCCAAGAAGGCTAATGGCATTTTGGGCTGTATAAGTAGGGGCATTGCCAGCAGATCGAGGGACGTGATCATTCCCCTCTATCCGACATTGGTGAGGCCTCATCTGGAGTACTGTGTCCAGTTTTGGGCCCCACACTCCAATTTTTCCACATTCTTCTTGTAAAGAGTCCAGCGGAGGGCAACAAAAATGATTAAGGGGGCTGGAGCATATAACTTATGAGGAGAGGCTGAGGGAACTGGGATTATTTAGTCTGCAAAAGAGAAGAGTGAGGGGGGGGGTTGATAGCTGCTTTCAACTACCTGAAAGGGGGTTCCAAAGAGGAGGATCTAGACTGTTCGCAGTGGTACCAGATGATAGAACAAGGAGTAATGGTCTCAAGTTGCAGTGGGGGAGGTTTAGGTTGGAAATTAGGAAAAACTTTTTCACTAGGAGGGTGGTGAAGCACTGGAATGGGTTACCTAGTGAGGTGGTGGAATCTCCTTCCTTAGAGGTTTTTAAGGTCAGGCTTGACAAAGCCCTGGCTGGGATGATTTAGTTGGGGGGTTGGTCCTGCTTTGAGCAGGGGGTTGGACTAGATGACCTCCTGAGGTCCCTTCCACCCCTGAGATTCTATGATTCTATGAACATGGGTTTCTAAAAGAAAGACTACATTAGTAGAGCAAACTGCAGTGTGGAAGAGCATTAAGTTGTTTTCACTAACTATATGCTTTAGTATTCATCCAAAATATTCACTGACTATATGCTTAAATATTCAGCCAAGGAGTTTAAAAGAAATCCAACAGAACCTAATAAGGCGACATTATTTCTCAGGCAATGTTTTGTAAAAGCTTATTTTTCAAAGCTAAACCACCATAGATAATTTTGTGGCACAGAGACTAATTTTGCAACTGTCGCAGTGTATGCACAGTGCACAATTTAAATCCAGCTGAATTTAAAGATATCAACCAAATGACAAAATCTAATGCAAAGCATCGTTTCCACTTAATCTGTATCTTTCCCTGCATTAGTCAGATTTAAAAAAAAAGCCCTATCATGTCAAAATTGCTTCCAGAGGTGTCTGTATTAGGCAGACTAAAAGGAAGTCAAAGCAAAACATTTAAAGTCTGCGTAACATTGTAACATCATCCATCTTCTCTGAGATTCATGTTATTTTTTCTTTTCTATTCTTTTTTTTTTTAAGGCTGCTGAGAAAAAGAACAGAGACCTGGAGGAGAAAGTCAGAACACTAAGGACAGATGTTGAAGAGAGCAAACAGAGACAGAACAGCCTTAAAACTGAATTAAAGAATTTTTTAGACGTACTAGATGGGAAGATAGATGAACTACATGACTTCCGACAAGGACTGTCTAAACTGGGAGTTGACAACTAGACGGCAACAGTTTTTTGTAATCTAGGGTCTGAATGTTTGGTGTTTTGTTGATCCCAAATGTGTATTTTACAAAATTTGACTAGAATGTTCCACTTGTTGGCATTGTTTCTGTACATACAGGCTGAAATTTGCTGTGTTTTTTCAAACCAGTTGTGCTGCTCACTGAATTCTGTTGAGAAGAGAAATGATTTATATGGCTGCTCTGGGTTTGTGAAGAGGTGGAGGATTCTGTCTCAGGAATCTGGAACTAGATCTACCTTATATGATTATGCAGTTAGTTGTTGCAGGGAAATTTATATCTTTCTTAAGGGCTGTTGCAACCATAGAAACAGAAAACAAGTATTTTCTAGTCCTGACTCTCAATACTCCTAGCAACATGAATTTTATTTCTTTTGTTGAGTGGAGTGGAGTTAAGATTAGAGGGGGCTCCTGCCGTGTGTAAATCAGTTGGGTAAAATGTGTCTGAGTTGAGCTACAGTCAAGTGTAGCGAATCCCTCTAAGTAAACATTAAGATCCTTAGGAACAAATCAATAAAGCCTAATTCACAGAAAGAAACCAACTGATTTTATACTTGTGTGACCTCTGTAAATGTATGTGCACATACAGCACATAATCTGCTGCAAAATTGCAGTCAGTCTCAGCTCTTGTACTTCAAATAAATCGTACAACAGCTGATGAGAACTTGTCTCATTTAACAAGAGCATCTTTTTCCTCAGCCCTAGTGTTTAAATTCGTATAATTAAGTTAATCTTTACATCTTTGAAAAAAAAACACTCTTCCTGGGACCATATATACAGCAATAGGGATAGGTTATTGTTTCACATATAGGTCTGGGTCCTCTAATTAATCTGGGTCCTCTATATAACTTAATAACTGCTGTGAACATCCACTGAAGTGATTTCAGAGAAGTTAATCTAAAAAACATTAGTTCATTTCACAGAACCGCTGGGGATGGTTTTGTACAAATGCAAGTTTCTGTTCAAGAGACATCCAGGGCTGAGGTAGCATGAAAGCAAAACCCTTTTCTTTGAAGTGTATGTTCCGATCTCATGACATATTAGAAACCAAATTGCCCATTTAGAATGACAAGAAGAAAGGCATTGCAGAAACACATTGTAACTTGTATTTGATTATTCAGCAGCTCTAAACACATTCTGAGTAAAGCAAGAGAATGCTTGGGATTCCAGGACCATGAGAATAAGAAGCAAACTTACTTAACTGCAGTTGGTGACATAAACAGCAACACTGGTCCAGAATTCAGTCTAACTCTGCTTTTGTCTCCATAACAACCTTCAGGGGCTATTTTTTTTTTTTAAGAACTGTTAGGGAATAGCCTGCTCTGAAGTTATTCTGAAATTCCATGCAAATAGAATTTGGGCAAGCTGTTCTGTTTATGTCTGATACATTGATGGTATTGCCTCTTTTTTTAATCTGGCAAAGGCTTCTGAAGTGTGAAATTAATGTATTCCAACAGGACGGAATAGAGTGGCCATGTCACAACATTCATTTCACATATTACAAATTAGATTTCTAATTCTTAATAAAGCTATAATCAAGGGGGTTTTGGTCATTTAAATAATGTAAGTGAAGAGTACATTGAATACTTTTGCACACAGATATAATAATCCAGATGCTGGAAGTCTGTAGAGATACTCTATCTGCAATAGTTCTTTAATTTTAGATTGCATCTACCACTGAAGTATTGTCTATCTAGCCTTGCCTTTTTTGTATGTGTGCTTTGTAATCCTTTTATACAACTGATATTATGAAGCTGGACTATTTCGGTATATGATGGTCTTTATAAAAATTGTTGTAGAGTGCCAGTATTAAAAAAAATAAAATAAAAATCAGGTACTTGGAAACATAATATAGAATGTAGGGATGTGAAAATAAGCTTTCGCCAGTGCAGAATATCCAAGTGTTACATAATGTGGGGTTAGATAATGTGATCCAACTACTCAAAATTGAAAATGACAAAGGAAACAGAGTGTATTTTCTGAACAAATAATTTCAGTATTTAGTTTGCATCTAATATAGTTCACTTTGAATAAAGAATCATCAAAAAGGCAGATGACCTACTTCTCCTCTACTCCCATTCTACCTTTAAGGTTAGCGGCAGCAACTGGGAAGCAAGGAAGTAAAACAATTGTCTGTCACAAACAGTATAAATTGCCAGGCTCCCTACTCTATTTCCCATTAGTGTTTTTACCTCCTTCATACTGAGAGCCTTGCTCAATCTTCTGTTTCTTTTTTCTCTTTTTTTCCCTACTAGCGAGTCTTAGGGCTTGTCAGAATGAGAGAGTTGTATTGGTTTAACTTAAGATGTGATTTTTAAAAGTATGTAGTTAAATAGGTGCAAAGGGCTGTGTAAAAACTCTTATTTTGGTTTAATCCAGATTTATTTTGGGTTCATCCAGTTATTTCAGTTTAATTTAAACCATTTAGGAATCAGATTAAAATAAATGAAACAAGCCACTCTTAAACTTAAATAAGAGGGTCCACACATGGAGGTTACATTGTTTTAACTAAATTAGGCTAGGTCTACACTACGGGGGGGGGTGTCGACCTAAGATACGCAACTTCAGCTACGTGAATAGCGTAGCTGAAGTTGCGTATTTTAGGTCGACTTACCTGGCTGTGAGGACAGCGGCAAGTTGGCCGCTGCTGCTCCCCCATCGACTCCGCTTCCGCCTCTTGCCACGGTGGATTTCCAGAGTCAGCGGCAGAGCCATTGGGGATCAATTTTATCGCGTCTACACTAAACGCGATAAATCGATCCGCGATAGATCGATCGCTACCCGCCGATCCGGCGGGTAGTGAAGACATGCCCTTATTAGTTTAAAAACTGACTTAAGTAAAACCTGTATAATTTTCTGATGTGGACAAATAAAGAAGAAATAAGGATAAGCGGAGAGGTGTGGATGCAGAGTCTAGAAAGAAAAGTATTTATTTCTGGACCTGCTACTTGTGCTGCACACTTCCAAGCAACCAGGGGAACAAGGTGGATACTCTTTGAACAATCTCTGTTCTCTCTCCTGTAGTCAGGACCCCAGTGTTCATGTTCCTTCCTTCTTTGGCAGGTGTATTCAGTTCTTACGTGGTTGAGGCTCAGACATTCTGGCTGCCTCCATCCTTCACAGGATTGACAGCCTTGTCTAATTAATTTCTGCACTCCCTTTTTCCTGTAACAAAATGTAAACACTGGGTCCTGGGATTCAGGGCCCTATTTGTTACCTGTAAGTATTATGCAAATTGGTCTTCTCTCACCTTTGCCACTCTGTCTTCTTTTAGAAATTAGAGGAGATTATAAATGTTGCAGGCTCCCAGTCCACAGGAAGTTAATACCTCCGTCTCTTGGATACCTACAGGCATTTCTTCCTTGAATCTTGATCCCTACCGGACAGGTTCTTTCATTAAGAGTGGCTGATATGTACCTATGTCACAGGGCTGCTGTGAGGGTAAATCCATGTTGGTAAAGCACATTGAGTTCCTAGCATGAAAAATGATATCATTGCAAAATATTTTATAATTGAAGCTCTGTTGCAGCTCATCAATCACCTTGCAATGCCAGATATGTGAATCTTATTAGCTCCTCAGGGACTTGGTGTGGTACAAAAAACTCTCCTCTCTTCCCTTCCTCCCACAAACTGAGAGTGCAGGGTCTTAGGAAACCAAGCATTCTCTTTGTGGGCAATTCTCAGGTAGTACTAAGGATCTAGCTTTCATCCGAAGAAGTGGGCTGTAGTCCACGAAAGCTTATGCTCTAATACATTTGTTAGTCTCTAAGGTGCCAGAAGTACTCCTGTTCTTTGTTTTCTCTAGCCCACCTTCATGCTTCTGTAGGTACTAGGAATCCAAACCCTCTATTTCTGCAGTAACAACTGCTGAACTTCCCTCAAGCTGTAGTTGGTTTCGCCCTTTCCTGTTCTTCAGTATCAGGTTTTCCCTCCATTTTCTGCTGTTTCATTTCTGCCATGCTGTCCAAGAGCTCAGTGGCCTTCCTGCCATAAAGGGACCTCCTTAGCTATTAAGCCTGTTTGGTCACCATAAGAGTCTTGTCCGTGGTCCTTAATCCATTATCTGGTGTCCTTTCAGTGCCTGCCTGCCTCAGACAGGAATACATTGCCCAGTCAGTCTTGCATTCTGGCTTCCTTTCACACGCACACAGCCACTCCTGCTCTCCCTGATTCAACTTCTAAGCATCCCTTCCAGTCCTTTGTCCCCATGCTCAAGTTTGTTTGGGGGAAGGATGATTCTGTGACACTGCTCCTGCAGAATGAACACTTCATGATATGTGAGGGTGACTTCCTGCATGGGGAACCTGACCAGTGATTCTTATTCAGAGCCCCCTAAATCTGGAGGCTGCCCTCTGCTGGAAAATATTTCCAGTCAGGGTGCAAGGTGGATATTTTGGAGAGACTCCCTGATCACAACAATGCAGCCTTCCCTCATGTTTTTTTTTTCCAAAACGTTTGCATCTTGGGAATGGGGTCTGTTTGACAGAGGCCTAGTCATATCTCAATTATGCCCACTGAGTATTGTGTATTATATAAAGTTGCAGTGGAAATATGTAAGGTCTCTAAGATGGTGATCTCTGCTGATTCCATGACCTCTCCTTTTTATGCTGTTTATAAGAAAGTGTTACTTAATGCTGCTATTTTTTTTTAAACCAAGGCTGTGCCATTAGTGCTGGCCCATCTCTCCTGATTTTGATATCTGCAAAGCTCAGGCCTCTCCATAAATAGCAAAGTTACTGTCTAGCTCAGTGATGCACTTTTTGATTGCTGAGCTGTATATGGGGATAGCCATGGAAGGTCAAACATGTTTGACTCAAGGGGTGAATCCTGCTCAAACTGAATAGATGTTTGTACCCCCACCCCTCCAGGGCTCTAGTTTGTTCCAGGAAGATCCCAAGGTGACCACAGAGGGATCAGAGTCCAAATAGTCCTGAAAGCACTAATTTCAGCCTCCATACCTCAGTCTGCAGATTTGTTTTTGCTTATTAATAATGGTTTACAAACACGAATTTTCAGCACCCCTCTGATGTCGGTTAGTTCTCACTTTGCATTAGGTCTACGTTGGAGACATATATGGATTTCCCCATGCAAGCTTGTACTCACTCTTAGCTCGGAAGATGTAAAGATTCCGTTTGTGACATAGGTTTCTCCCCTAAAGTGGCTAAAGGCAGGAAACCTCCTACCTCAATCACTTGATCTTGTATTTGGAGTGTCTTGTTAATAGCATCTTGTGCCCAGCACTCTGAGTGCAAATGGCTGTCATTTTCACTTCCGGAGGTCCTGTGGAGAGTACCTTCGCATCAGACCCCTTTCCTGTTAGGTTTTTGTTTATGAAGCATTTGATTTGTAGACTTGACCGTCAGAACGATATTTCATCATTAGGAATGGCCTTCTGTTTAAAGATGCTATTTTGGCCTCCTTTGAGACCTGGGGAAAGAGTTTTTCTTTTGTTTTCTGCCATAGTAGCCTTTTTAATTGGTATCGCCTTTGCCAAGTGATGAATCAGTGAGTTCACTGGAATAGAGCTGCCTTGTCTGTAAGGATGTCAGATTTTCTCTCACTTTCAGTTTATCATTCAAAATTTCCTATGTTTCTTAATACTCTTACTCCAGCTACTCCTATGCCCAGAAAACAGTCTGGAGATAGTCGCTGTGTTTTATGTAGCCTGGGTAATGCCTTTTGATTGTGTTTAAAAAAAAAAAAAAACCCAACATTTATTTTTGATTCCATGTCTAAAATTTAGAATGAAGCTTCTAAAGCCACCATTGCTCATTGGATTAAAGGCAATATGAAGAGTTTCTACAATTCTTCACTGCTGTGTGTCTGTGAAATATTTCCATTATTTATGAAGAGAGAGGACCTAAGCATTAACTGCTGTACTGTATTGTGACTGCTGCTTGCCTTATACTCATTCCTTTATTGCTCAATACCAAAGCTGATCTGGGTTAGCAGTCTCTTTGTTGGATTGAGGTTCACTCACTCAGCAGATGGGTTTAAAAATATTTATTAAGGCAAAACACTGAGTAGTGATCAATTACGAGTGGGAAGCCCATCAGGACAATCTCATCATTCCATATGATCTCTCCACCCCCATCAGTACAGGCTTAGTGTTAGTTCACACCAATCTTTTATAGCTTTTTAGTTACTTTATCTTTTCTTATTCTCACAAACATGATTGCTCTGCAGTTTCTTACACATGCGCAGCACTAAACATGATGATTCTGCAATTTCTTACATATGCACAGTTCTATTTATGCTTGCACAGTTAAATGTTATCAGAACAGACTCTTAAAATCCACAGCAGGCTTCTGTCAGGCCTAAATATGCCTTTGCTCCCAACACTCTTGGCTGATAGTCAAGGTAAGCCCATGTCTGCCTTTTCACACTGCTATACAAGTTGCACTTATGGAATCTTACTGGATGGAAGGAGGACTGCACAGTAATGTAAAATTGTTTACTAGTAATTCTTTTCATTGTACACATTCTCTCCAGCCCCCCTGCTTTCCTGGCTTTTTGCCCTCATGACTGTTTACTGTCTTCACTATTCAGGGAAAACTGGAGGAACCTGCCTACTTATTCTCAGAGCCCTGTGTGTTCCATGATTCAGAGCTGTGGATTTTCTCCCTTAGCTACAGAATTGTGCTTCAGAATTCAAGCTCTTTTTTTTCTTTAAACTGTTTCTAGCCCTTATGGTTGCAAAAGTCTTGAAACCAGGAATGATTTATAAACTGATGCCATATTGTCTTCCTGAGTCTGCAGACAACCTGAAACAAAAGCTCTCCGGGGGCTGAACTGCCCCATTCGTCTCACTGAGTTGTTATTGC